TTTGTAGGTGGAGAAATTGAGACTTGATATAGTAGAGATGAGATATGGAGTTGAACTCATGTTTTCTTCTTCCTGATTTAGGACTTTTTCCATTTACCAAGTTGCCAAAGGGTCATGCCAAGGGCAAGGACCTGGGGACAGAGTAGGAGGTCACCACGAGGTCTGTGGCTGCACATCTCATTCAAGACATCACAAATGCCCTTCAGTTTCTTCAGTAGCTTGTTTTTTGGTAGAACAATGAAAAATGACAGGGAGAATGCTATGTTCACTTGAAGTATATACAGACTCGCTCCCTGAGGGGAGTTACTGTTGTATAGTTGAACAAAGAATTTTTTTTTCAGTTATGGTTTCACTCTTGAGCATTGGGTATATTCCAGGCAGGTCTGCATTCTTCACCATTACATACAGTGAATCCTGGGGCTTAAGAAAAGAACCAGATGTACTATACCTGCACACACTGAACAATTCGAATACACCATTAGTCTAAGGTCTTTTGCCATCATTTGGGTCAATGGCCTGACTTCTGTATTTTTCCTATATGTAGAGCCAAAACAGAAAACAAAGCTCACCACCAACAACAAAACAATTGATGACCCATTAAAAATGTTAAGTAAGGATAAAATAATCTACAATTTGAAAAGTCTAACATTTATAATTTTATAAAATAAAGGTCTTTCTAACAGCAAAATAACAAGAAAAGTAACTTCAGAAAAATGAAAACAATTTTTAAATTGAGTTAATTTAACCCAATGACAAAAGTACATTTTGTACCCATTTCACTGCACCACTGACCAGCTTTTAGAAAAGGGTGATCATGAACCCTCTTCTGACTGTAAATAGATCAGACTTACAAGATATCAAAGAGAAGTTTCAGTCTATTTGAAAATAATTTCATCAAAAAAGATTCTTTGGTTTGAGATTTTATGGTTTCTTTGTTCATTCAAAAACAAGCAAGCAAACAAAATACAGCTAGAGACATGGAAATAAAGAACAAACTCACAGTAACCAAAGGGGAGGGGGAGGGGGGAGGGCGTAATTGGAAAGAAGGGGAAGGGTCCTCAAGAAACATGTATATAGGACCCATGGACAAAGACAAAGGAGAGTAGGACTGAGGGTAGGTGGTGGGGGTAGGGGAGCCGGGGAGAGTGGTGGGGGAGAAATGGAGACAACGGTGCTTTAACAACAATTAAAAAAATAAAATGTTCAGAAACCTCTAAATTGATTCTCATAATTCTTAAACTAAATGTCAAGTGCTAAGCTGAAACAGGTTTATGTGATTATGCTCTCCATGGAGAAAAAAGTAGCTCTTCATCATCCTCCACACAACAACACAGGTAACCTTTAAATGAAGTAAAATCTCCCCTCAGTTTTGGCTTATTTATTCCATGTAACTGGCTTTCTCAGGTCCCTTTTCCATTCAGTCCTCCTCTCTGGACACAGTACAGTACTGGGTGCTGGGCTTGCAGTGAGAAGAACATTAAGACTTGAACTCACAGATGTCTGGCACAAACAGGGCTACAATCAGTGCTATACACCGACAAGCCAGTGAGAGAGGGATAAGGGGAGGCACCTAGCTTGTGTAAGCGAGGCCTTGAAGGAGTCATGAGAGCTGGCTACGGGACCTGGTGCATTCCTTGAGGTACACAGGACACCAGTAAAGGGGCAGAGAGTGCTGGCTCAGGGGAACACTGCCCAGATTCCAAGCTCTTCCCTTCACATGGTGGGACCTCACCATTCTGACAGGTGTCTACTAACATACTACTTCAATTGCCAAGCATAAAGTAGAGGCGGAAGAAATAGATGACATTAGCTCTGCAGGCACAGAAAGTTGTGTGGATGCCTTCCACCTGGATTTATGTATCCATTGCCTCATATGATAATGTTAAATAGTAGATGTTTAAGGAATAACATTATTTGGCCACCTTGGTGTTAGATTGTTGGTATTAATTAACATGTCTTAATTTCTATCCATCAAACTATTAGACTTTATGTTGTCCAAAGTATCTCACTTCCAAATAGCAGTTCAATTATCATCAAAGCTGAACTGTAAAAATACAGTGTGCCATGTCTTTGACTATGAATATGGACATTTCTATTTGAACTCATTGTGAAGCTGGCCCTAGCATCACTGCCTCAAGGCTGGATGGGTTACAAAAAGAGATCGTCAGTGTATGAGTTGTAATCGAATTAAGAGTGCTGGATCAAGGCTGGTGGGATGAAAGTCCCCAAAATGTCCTAAATCTTACTCATATCAAAAACTAAATTTTTTTGCCAAACATACCTAGATATTCAGAGAAGACATCATTAAAAAATGCAAATAAGCAAGATTCAGCATCCTTTTTCTCTGAAGGCTGGTGCACAGACCTCTGACACTGCCCTTGTTCTCAAGAACCTCAGTCTAGTGTGTGGTGCCCTGTGCGTACTTTGCTGACAGACCTGAAGATTGTGTCCTTAAAATTCACTTTTCTAGTTATATTTTAGTGAGACCGTTGTTATGCTGCCAGAGTGGCAAAGATGATTTCCACTCTATCCTACTTGTAAGGTGCTAATGGCAGTGGGGTCCTTGGAGGTGTTCACAGAAAAGATGCCTCTATTCTAATCACAGACCATGAAGTCGTGCAATGTACTCAGCTTTTTTAAAAGTGAAGATGGTGTTTGTGAGAGTGCACATGTATATGCACACACATGACCCACCAAGGAAGTGTCCATGGCACCAGGGTGGTGTCATAAACAAGGCGGTGAGCACTCATGGTAAGCAAAATGCCATCTGGCTTCTTCTATGTAAGTCTTGGGGAAAAAAGCTTATATTCATGTATAACACAAGTCAGAGTTTTAAGATCATAGTAGCTTCAAGTTAAAAAGCCTAAATTTAAAAAGGCAACAAAACAAATACAAAATTTTCTTTTTTTTTGGAAATATAAGGACAATTCAAAGTAGGTGTTGCTTTTGTTTGAAAGCAAATACAAGCTTTGCCACTTACTAGATGCGTGACCTTCAGCAAGAAACTGCAAAATTGAAAATATTTGTCGCACAGTGTTATTGCAGAGATTGCATGAAGCATTGTATGCACAGTGCTTAGCATGGATAACACTTGGCAAGTAGTAGACATTCAGTCAAAACATTCAGCTACTAGGATTATTGTTATTTATAACCCCATGTTTGCATATGTAATTTGGTCCTTGGAGAATTAATAACTTAACTGAATGAAATGAGCCCTTAATGGTATAATTTTTAATAGTTTGGTCTGGAACTAAAGGAGAATTATCAATTTGTGCTGGTTCACCCATTATTTTATGTTTGTGTATATAATTGTCCCGATTATATTCTAAATTCCAAAATGGTCACCTTTAGTATATTTGTTCACTGAAAGCATATTCTGGGATCAAAACAGGAAATCTTTGTTAAGAGTATTCCATGGTCAAAAGTCAATACCATGAAAAAATAACCATTTCAAAAAAGTCCTCAGAAGAACAAGCCAGTAGTGAACTTCTGAAAATATGATAAGTGTATCAGGTAGAATTTTGAAGGTGACACTTCGTTTTCTGGAAAAGTTCCTCAGTTTGCTCATCCACCATCTTTCTGTGGCATAATGAAGAAGAAGAAAAGGGTTAAAGCAAACATGAAAAACTGAAGCCATAGGCATCACAGTACTGCCAATGTTTAGAGGGGAGAAGAGTGCAGGCAGGTGTTGTGGTCCCCAGAGAGAAGCAGGGGATGTGGAGAAATAGAGCGAATAGTGCGTTCGGCTCTGGAGTAGAGGCTGGCTGGCGAGGACCTCCAGGAACAGACTCAGAGCTCTTTAATAAGTATTCCAGGGAGTCAGGCTTTCCTGGAAAAAACAAATTAGTGTGAGAAGCCAGTACTGTGCAATTTCAGTTTTAAAAATAGCCAAGTATTGTGAAGGCTGCTGTGTGCATGAGAGAAAAAGAAAGCCCTTGTTAATATTTGCCTCAGATTCCACATTGAAACAGAGCAACCACACTGAAACTCTTGCTCGGCAGAAACTGCAAAGGTCAGAAGGTTTGTATCAATCACTTGGAATGACTTTTTGCTCCTTCCAGTGACGAAGTTTGAGGGGTAGGTGCTGTCCCCTTTTATCAGTCGGTCTTGCAGTAAAGGACAGCCGAGTGATGGCTCTGCCTCTCTCACTTAGGACCAGAGCTGCTCCTCACCGTCTGCTTCAGCTCTTCATTTGCCTAATTGCACTGTGAGGCTGGCAGGGACTTTCCCTGCGGCGTGGCTCTGCTGACTGCAGAGACCCTACCTGGCACTCAAAGTTGGTGCATCAGCATTCTAGGTGGAAATGAATGAAAAATCAATCAGGATGACTGCAGTGGTAGCAGGTACAACTCTAACCTAGTTTGTCCATAATTTTCAACTATTCACCATAAACCCAAGCAGTATTTAAGATGGTAAGTGAATGTGTAACGAATGTGCTGCTTCTGTTTAATCAGTCTTTTTTTTTGTCCTTTTTATTTGTCCTTTTAGAACAAGCAAATCTAAACTGCTTTGGAAGCCACATGGAAAATGAATGATGATGTTAACTTTCATGCAAATATTCTTTATTTGGCCTTGTTTAACATTCTGTTCCTAATTAGACTGGCTGATAAATATCCATATATAGATACATAAAATTTGTGTAATTATCTTATACTTCAAATTAAGAGGTTTAAACAATTTTTAAAACTCTATTATATCCTTGCCACATGTCTTTGCACCTTTCTATAACTCTGTTATCAAAACTATACTATCTTAAATTTTACAATTCTGCAAAGATAGAGTTAAACACTATTTGGACTCTGGCTACATAAACGAAACTGGGATTGTTCAAAGCTGCAGTCTTCAGCTCCCAAAGACAGCTACAAAAACTTTCTGGACAGATTGGGTTAAATATTTTTACAGACCCATTCTATGATGATAAGGCGGTAATAAGTTGTGCAGTGCAACACTCCAAAGGGTTCCAAATCTCACAAGCCTCTTTGTATGTGATGCTCTCACAGTGAAGAAGAGTCTTGGGCTATAAAGATGAAGAGCCTACTTCTTCTGGTGCTGATTTCAGTCTGCTGGGCTGATCATCCTTCAGACAACTATACCCTAGATCATGGCAGAGTTATTCACATCCAAGGTAAGAAAACACAGGTTCTCTTATGAAAGTCAAATGAATTTCGAGTTACTTAGAGTTGAGATGCTTGGTTAGTGTTTCTTCATTTTAGTTCTGCTGCATTGACTCTCTCTTGTCCTTTCTGCTAATTGGTGAACATGTTCCCTGGCTTTTGAATGCTATGGCATTACAGTAGAGTTAAGAATTGGGGACAATTAAAGTGGAATGACTTATGAATGTCCCACTACAGGGAGTTGATGCAATTACTCAAGGCTTTTTAGTACAGTTGATATCTTTTAAGTAGAACAGAGGGCTTAAAGTTTATTTAAATGCAAGGGAATGGGGTTGGGGTTGCGGGGGGAGAAATAGGAAGTAAAACTTACAATGTAAGGTCATGCTATTAAAGTAATCATTTTAGGAAAAACAATGTGAAAATAAAAGTCAGGCAAGCTAAGGCTGAGGAAAAAGTAACTTACCCTGTTATAACCTCCTTTGGTAAATATTTAGTTCCAATAGACCAACACTTTGCCTCTGCATATGTCTTTTCAGCTCAGCTGATTCCTAAGCCTTAGAGCTGTAGCAAGATTTGGGGCTGCAGTACAATGCAGCGTTTTGCTCAGTCCCAGCCTCAGATGAGGGACATCCTGTATTAGGAAAGCTAAGAGACTTATGCAATTAGGAAATGATAGTTCTAAAGGAGCTTTAGCTTCTCTCTTTGCCCTTGTGTGCTAAATAATTAAAAGAAGTATTACATAGTTTAACAGTTTATACATATGATGCTATTAATTTTAGGTGAGCTCAGTCTAGGGACCAGAGGCATTATAAGTTTGCTAAGAGATATGAAACATCAAGTTATATCTTCAAGGTCAAAAGTGTAGTCTCAGAAAACTGCATCCACTGTTGAAAGTATGACTTGTGAAGGTCAAATGACAGTGTAAGTCTGGCTAGAAGCATTTTCCTGGGTGTATTATGACTACCCAAATAGAATTCTGATTTGACGATAGCTAGCTGTTTTACATACATCTCTCTCAGCTCTTTTTGCTTCCAACAGCTTTGTGTTTTTCACTGTTGGACCATGAAAAGGAATTATACAATCATAAATTTTACTATACAAGCTGCTGACTCAGCTGTTTTTTAAATGTGTACAGTAGAAGAATCAAAGCTGTTTCCCAAACACTATATTTACATATGGAGATATCTTTTTTAAATTTGATCTTTATTGTATTTTTTCCATTTAGACTCATCGTAACCCCCTTCCTGCAGCAACCACCATACTGTTGTCCATGTCCATGAGTCTTTTACTGATGAGAAATAACATCTTTTTAACATCTAGTCACAGAATTCAATTCAGCCAAAAGGTCAATTCCTACTCATTATTAAGGATAGCAGTTTTAAAGCTGATTTAAAATAAACTTTAGCTGTGATTTTAAGTTATTATTAGACAAATACCTGTTATATCATGAACTATGTATAACCATTTAGTCTAAATTGCACTCAGAATATGAAAATATTATTTTGGAAGTGTATTAACATTTTAAAAATTACTCTTGGGGAGCCTTGAAGTCAGATTTAAGTTTTGTCAATAGGGGCAACTTCTATGGCTCCAGCCTTTCCATTCCCTTACACTCTGTTGGAGTAGAGTGCGGAGGAATTTCTGGCATGAGGTATCAGAATACCCAGATTATGCATACACTATCTAGCATTTTTAAAAGAAATAACAAGATAGTTCACTTCATTTTAATTGTAAATTGATATTCTTAGAAAGTTACTCATAGCTTTCAAGTAATAAAACCACAAGGCCAGAATTTTGCCTAAGGAAGTTAATACTAAAATGGGATTTGGATCAGGGTTATGATGCTGGCTAGGTCCACAAGTCTTAATTTGTTTTAAAATTGCTCCAAATACCTGTTCTTGTTAATTTCCAGCTAATAAAAAGTTTTCTTCTCCCTTTATGGCAGCATTTAGGTTGAACGCTCACATTCTTCAGTCCTTCAAAGAAACATTTCCAGGTGGTCTGACGGAATTTCCGTTCTTTCATATGCAAAAATAAACCACACAACATAGTAATCACTAATGCAGATAACCTGCATTACTTACTTTAAATAAGATTATTTTCCTGTATTTAAACTTTTGTTTATCAAGCATGGCCCAGACGAAGTTTAAAGAAGCTGAAACCCTCATAAAATTTTACAAGAATTTCGCGGTCAGATGATTTAGTGAATCTGACTCTCAAGTTCCTGAATTGTACTGATAAGCAATACAAGCTTCCCTCGGTAATAGAAAATTGTTCAAAATTCACATCACTGCAAAAACACTGTTTCTACCTCCCACTTTTCATTAAATCTCTACGCTTATACTCTTAAGTGTGCAGGCCTAAAGCACCCCAGGAAAATGTGCACAGGATTCTCCAGTTCTCCTCAGCTGCCTTGGTTCAGTGCTAAGTTCCTTGATAGTGTGATCTTGAGTCTCATGCAGGAGTTACCTGATTATTTTTCTGAAGGCTTCCTCACAGTTTTGTTGTGGAAATATTTTTAAAAATATTTGGATGTGGGAGCGTCTATAAATATATGGACACAGAAACATTTAATCTTTTCTTCTTTTTTTCAAGTGAGATTATTGGGAAAGAAAATGTGAGTGTAGATCCCTGTGCAAAGGGTTTCTGGTGAAAAGCATTTTTCCAGTTATAAAAAAGAAAACTCTCCCAGCTTCCCATGAAAACACAGTCTTAGATAAAAAATGCACATGTACTAATTTATTTTTTAATTATATTATTGAAGCAATTTGGTTACATAAGAAAGCAAGCTTTACTTGTCCATTGAGTAGGCTAAAATGTTCAATTAAGATATTAGGTTATATATCATATACTGTCCCCGATGTAGGGGATAGTAATTTCTTCAAATATAGATGCAGGAAGAAAGAGCTGCTGTTAATACTGTCTTATAACACTCTCAACTCATGCATTACATCTCTTGTTTCATGATATGCCTAGTCAAACAGCCTCTGAATCCTTTGAAACTTGAGACCATTAGGAAGAATTTTATATGGAGTACCAAGTCACACAAAAGTGTACTTTTAAAAATATTTGGATCAAGTCCAAAAGTTCTTTCTGTAGACTTTTAATTACATGTAGAGGTTCAGAGATAATAGATATACTTTTTTTAAAAACACAATGTTTAAGAAGACATTTACATAGATAACAGAGAAATTATATGACCATTTGCTCATTAAACAGCATAAAAAGCAAAATAGTAATAATTATACTAAATATGTAACTGCTTGACCTTATTCAGGTCAGAGAACCAATGCTTCCTGTCTCTGGTGTTCAAGTGCAGGTCTTCTGAAGACAAGTTCAAGAGTTTTTCCCCTAATGCCACATGGCTTTGGACTTAGGCAATTAATCTCTTCAAGTCTTAGTTCCCTTAGCTATAAAATTGAGCATAGTCACTGTTTATTCCACAGAGCTTTGTAAGAATTACATTAGATACTATTTGGACAAGTGCTTACTACTGAGCCTGGCACACAATTGGCTTCCAGTAGAAGGCGGTTATTGTTGTCACGTTTGTTACTTCCTCTCTGACCTGGGAAAGGAAACACAAAGGCTGGTGGAAACACTCATGCTTCTCAAATGTATTTGTTAACAGAACCGTAGTTCTAATGAAGTAAACATTTTATAACTTGCCTTCATTGTTCTATTTAGTTTCACAATTTAAAATGTCCCCGATAGTATTAAACATTACCTGATACTTTTACTTTCCTTGTAAAAAACAGAAGCTTTCCAAACTTAAGTAGTTTTCCTTTAATATGCTTACAAGGTGAACACAGATAAGCTAAATGTTATTCTTTTAAATTAAAAAAATAAGACTAATAGAAATTTTTTCCGTTCGATTTAATAAGTAAGATTTACTGTCATTTTCTCAAAGATAAAACAATAATTTTTTAAAGAAAAAAATGTCAGAAGTATATCTCTATGGTAGAAAAAAGAATGCATATGTAGAACCCCTGGCAGAAGTGGGCACTCCCCACCCAGTGGGTTAATTTCTCTGTTCTGTGCGTGTCAACCTACTCCTCTGTTCCAGGTTAGAATGTCTTACTTTGTGTTAAAATGGCTCTCTTTCCTCATCAGATTGTCAACTTTGTAACACCGCAGCTATATAGCAGTGCCTAGCACATAGTAGGTGTTTAATATGTATTTTAGTAATATGTAATATGTAGTTTGTTAAATAAATGCATGAATATAGTGGGATACATCCAAATTATTGCTATCATAATGAGCATTTCTTAAATCCTGTGGCATCCGTGGCATTTAGCAACACAATGACACATCGAATAGGCTTAATGAACACTAATTTGATGACTGCCTTCATTCTAACACTGACAAAAGCTAAACCGTAGTTTACAGAAGGGCTGTCCAAACTTTCGGTGTCTCTGGGCCATGCTGGAAGAAGAAGCATGTCTTGGGCCACACATTAAATACACAAACACTAATGAAAACTGATGAGCAAAAAGTCCACGGGTTAGACACCCCTGGTTTACAGAATTTAAGAACTTAAAAGGACTTTAGTGTGCAACATCTAGATCAATATGCCATTGTACAAATAAAGAAATCAAGACCCAGAGATTTTGTTTCTTGCTCCAGATTGCATGGCTAATGAGGAACAGTTTCCCTTGGCTAATCCCCTCCCCTTCTTCCAATTTGGGCTTATTTCTCAGCTTAAGGAATTTTGCCTGACTACTGCACTCCCCCCTTTTTCTGGACTCTGAGTTTTCTCACATCTTTGTTTCTTTTTCTCTGTAGAACTGGCTGTTAACTTTATTTTCAAGTAATCATTTCTGTCCATCTCTGCCACAAGAACATAGGTCAGCCTCACCAGGGCAGGGATAGCTGATGTATCCCAGTCACCTAAATCAGTATCTGGCACATAGTAGGTGATCAGTACATGTGCATTAAATAAGTCCAGGATCAAATTCCAGGTATTTTTTGTCAATTCTTTCTTTCTTGTAAGCTGACAGGGTTTAAATTTCCA